TATATATATATATATATATATATATATATATATATATATATATATATATATATATATATACAGTTGAAGTATTAATTATTAGACCCCTTGGAATTTTTTTCTTCTTTTTTAAATATTTCCTAAACGATGTTTAACAGAGCAAGGAAATTTTCACAGTGTGTCTGATAATATTTTTTTCTTCTGGAGAAAGTCTTATTTGTTTTATTTTGACTAGAATAAAAACAGTTTACATTTTTTTAAACACCGTTAAGGGACAAAATTATTAGCCTCTTTAAGCTATATTTTTTTCTCGATAATCTACAGAACAAACCATCGTTATACAATAACTTGACTAATTACCCTAACCTGCCTAGTTAACCTAATTACCCTAGTGAAGCCTTTACATTTCACTTTAAGCTGTATAGAAGTGTCTTAAAGAATATCTAGTCTAATATTATTTACTGTCGTCATGGCAAAGAGAAAATAAGTCCATTATTAGAAATGATTATTAGAAATAGTTATTAAAACTATTATGTTTAGAAATGTGTTGAAAAAAATCTTCTCTCCGTTAAACAGAAATTGGGGAAATAATAAACAAGTTGTCTAATAATTCAGGGGGGCTAATAATTCTGACTTCAACTGTATATAAAGAGTTTCATTGCAGAACGAGATATATCCATTTAAAAAAATGTTGGTAATTTTGACATTATTTTTCAGGACATCAACAGTCAAGTTCATTCACAATTTCTGTACATTAAACTATAACTTGAGCTCAGTGAAGGCCAGGAACACAATATTTTCAAATCCAGGATATTTTTTATTTAATTTTATGTCTATAATTAAGTAAAAAAAAACATGCCAAAATGCTACATATTAATCCAACCCACATTGTCAAACATGGAATAATATATGCAAAGATTGATTAATAATAATAAGATTCTAAGTTAGATTTGGCCAGAATGTACACAACATAACATAACATACTGTAACTTTATTATTTTTTTTTTTTGCAAAACGCTACATCCACCTTAGGCTATATTATACTACATTAATACCATTACCAAAAGCTAGTGAATCAATGTTTTGTTTGATAAGTAAGATTAAGTTAGTTAGATAAATGACCTTTAGCTTGGTACAGAAAGAGTGGGGGGCGGCTCCTTCCACACCGCTGCAGAAAACCAAACCTGTATGATAAGAGCGGGCGGAGCTGAGTCCGTGACACAAACTTGCCTCGCTTTGTCATATTTAATGAATTATTTCACTGTAATAATAATAATAGCTTATTTATTTGGTTGTGAAAAAGCTAAACCGTTTTCTCCATAACAACATGTGCCCTTTAAGTTCATTTATAATAAATCAACAACAACAAGAATTAATTTTAAATAATAGGTGCAACCACATAAATAAATCTTCAGATAGGCTACTCAGCTACATTTAAGAAATTATTTAAAAAATAAACTTATAAGGGACACTTGCAGACAGGTATCTTGTGATGGGGAGTAGGAAAAAAGGCGCTCCTAGGCCTTCTCTTGACATCAGCGGAGACTCGTTCCCTGCTGCATTTGTGTATTGTTGACGCAGAAGTATCTTATTCTGGTCCACTTTTGTGGCCTTTTTATTATTTTTTTTGTGAAATTGAAGACTTCATCTTCTATCGCTAAATCAATGAGCAAACTCTGAGCACTTCACCGGCGATGACTCTCTTCCCAGGGGATGCTGAGCTCGCGCCGCATCCTGAACGCTCTCTAACTGTTATATCGCACTTTGTAAAGAAACTGGTCTGACGGATATTGCGTTTTGTAAAAAAAAAATAAGTTTTGTACTTGGCCTAAAATGTGCATTCTTAAATGTTATTAATGGCAGCAATTCACACATAGATTAAGGTACATCTGAACAGTGATTTCCAATAATAAAATCCAAATGTCAAAAAATGCAGTTTATCGCATTTTGCAACCTAACTCTTCATATGTATTTGTGTGTTATGACTGTATGACTGCAGAAGAGAACTGCTCTGTTCCCACAACTCAGTTTTTCTGGGACTTGAAAATAGACGCTCAGAAGATTTTAAAGGGTGGAATCTTGATCAAATCATGGGTTTACACACAAACATGTAATACAGTGCCAGATTTTCTGGATGTTATATACACATTTGTATTTGCAAACATATATCATATTGTTTTAAATGATGTATTTTTGTGTGGGTTTTTACATTCAGAGAAAGTTACAGTGGATCGTGATTTTGGAGGAGGTGAAGTCCAGTCTAAAAGGTAAAAATATTATTTATTTTTCTGATCAGAATTTTTCTTTTTTCAGAATGTTTATTTTTATCATGATATGTATGTGCTATGTTTGAAAACTATATTTAAGCTACCATCACACAGCTTTTACCCATTAAAAAGAACAACACAAAATCAAATAAATATTTTGGTAAGCTTTATGCAGAGAAGTCAACTCTCAGACTTGATTTTTACTTTCAGAGTCCACTCAAGTATCATCACCATGGTACAGTGTCTGTGAAGATAGTGATGCAGACCCAGCATTCACAAAAAAAGAGAGGTATGATCATTAAAGTTAATTTGTGACTGACTTGTTTTATTGTACAAGTCCAAATGCACAAGCTCATTTACATAACATGTAGGGTTAAACAGGACAGAAGCACATTACTTCTATGATGATTTCAGTACAGTTGCACTTGATATCTCATTTCATGTTAGTTAAACAATATTGCTAAATACTTTGGAAAAATATACTAATTGCATATCTGGTTACACTTTATTTTGATAATTTACTACTACTACTTTACTACTACTACTAACTACAAGTAACTGCAACTACTTGTCAACTAACAGCCATTAGACTGTCTGTTAGAATCAACACTGCTAATGCTCTACTAAATTTATATAAGAGTTAGTCATATTGTACTAATTTTGAGCCTAACTTAGTCTGCTGTACTATTTACTGAGACCAATGAGAGTCAGTTTTATTGAGGTAACCTTAACTGTCAGCTAATACTCTACACTCTAAAAGTAATAAAAATAAGTAATAATAATTAAATTAGCAGTTTTTCATAATTTGTGATTCATGTTTTTATGAAATCTGTTTGTTTCTGCTTTTGAATTGCATTATGGGATCTTGATCTTTCTTCCAACAACTTTTAATCTTAAAAAGTAAAAAAAAGTGACTTTTTGTTTGGGTTGGTGTTGTATATTATGCTACAGAAACCTTGTAATAAACTGCCGGTACATTTTCTGTTATTCTAAAGACTTATTTATCTCTATATATTATTTCTTATACATTACATTATTTCAAACTACTAAAATGTCAGTAAAAGTCACTTTGTTAAACTGTAGAGTTGAATTTTCAACATCAAAAGTGCACAGAGCAGAGATCAACATCCCATAATGCAATTCACCACCACACACAAAAAAAAACCACTTCATCAGATGAGCGTTAGTCTTATTGAACATTCTAACAGTATGCAAATACTCTAATACATAATACTTTACGGTGAGATAATTAACGTAGTTGCAGAGTTACGCATAGTTAAAAGAATGTCTAAACTGGACTATGGAATAAAGTGTAACCACATTAACCAGTTTTGGAGTTATTAGGAAGTATTTTTTAATCCATCTCCATCTTAAGTATTTTTAATAATAGGCAAGACATATTTTTCTAGCATTTTCTATCACAATATTAAACTAACATAACAGCACATGTTGTAAAAATGACTGAACATTTATGCAACTAAAACCACTTTTTTTATATTTTAACCACCCATAGGTCCCATAAAGAGAAGATCCTGGAGCAAACAGGAAGTACATGCTGTGGTGAAAGCTGAACCATTGGCTCTAAAAACCAGAGATTGGTCAGCTTTGGATTTTTATATTAAAAACTGAATCTCGACTCTTTAGAAAAAAAAAAAAATCTGAATAACACTTTTATAGTAAGTATACACTATACATCATTAGTTTAGCACTAACTCTACATTAATAGACTTTAGGAAGCAGTTTATAAATACAGCTTCAAACGTTGTATTCTTGACTTGACTTAATTGTATTTTCATGCTTTGTTACTGATTCATTTTTCATTACTTCATTATGTATTGCATTATTTACAAACTATTTGTATATAAGAGTAGTTGGTGGTTTTTAAGATAATTCAGAATGAGTTATTAAATGATTAATAAACTATTCAAATGAACATTTATACATGTTATATTCAGGCATATAGTAATTGTAACCATGTGTGTTAGTAAATGCTATAATAACACAACTTCATGCAGTTTTGTGACCTAATCTAAAGCGAGGACTGTTTATAGTTGATAAATCCCTTATAAATGTCAATTTAAGGCTCAGTATCTAATGAACAATAAATCGTTGCAATCTTATTAAAAAAATTCTGTAAAGTTTAAACATTATAAAATAAAAATACAACATCATTTCAAAACAACACAATTAACAATATGGCAATATTCATTTCAGTGTTTCTGTGATGTTTGCACTGTACAGTAATTTTATATTTTGATAAGATTGCTAATATTTATTTTTCATTAGATAGTTTCATTTGTGTATCTTGAAATTAATGAAAAAAAAAATATATATATATATATCTTCTTTGGCCTTAGTCCCATATGATTGCGGGGTCAGCTCTTTTTGGAACAAGTCCTCCAGTTTTAGACTTGTCCATATGATAAAGACTTTTTTTACACCTTCCGGCCAGCCTGTCATATGGGCGTGTCACACTCATACACTAGGGACACTTTAGCCTTCCCAATTCACCTTTAGCATGTCTTTGGACTGTGCCTTTGCACCCGGAGGAAACCCACACGAATGCAGGGAGAACATGCAAACTTCTCACAGAAATGCCAACTGCCTACCGCGCCACTGCTTCACCATATATATATAAAGCTATAAATCACCCTGCCTTTTAATTTATTTATTTTTTCTGTTTAGAATATAGCTGAGATTTTAATTGTCATTTATAAGGGATTTATAAAGCATCAATAGTCCTCACTTTACATTAGCTCACAAAACTGCATGAAGTTGAGTTCATAAAGCATTTATTATTAGAAAGAGTAACCATTACTATATGCCTGATTAATAAGATATATAAATGTTGGGTAACACTATAATAACTGCACACAATGAATTATTTATGAAACATTAGCAAATAGTTAGTTGAGCGTTTGTTAAGCATTAACGCTACATTAATAGACATTAGTAAGCAGTTTATAAATTATATTTATAAATATAAATTACAAATATTATTGACTTATAAGCACAATTATAATGTGCTTAATGATTGTTTTCATACTTGGTAAATAATGCAATACTTAATTTAGTAATGAAAAGTACATCATTAACAAACCAGATATTTAAAAGTAGTTGGTGTTTTTTTTAGATAATTCAGAATGTGCAAGTAAATGATTAATAAAATATTCAAAATAATATTGATAATTCTTATTATTCAGGCATATAATAAGTTGTTTAGTATGTTAATAAATGCTTTATGAACTCAACTTCATGCAGTTTTGTGATCTAATCTAAAGCGAGGACTATTCATGCTTTATAAATCCATTATAAATGACAATATAAGGCTCAGTTACATTATATAGAGGAAAAAATGACTATTAATTTCTACTATTACAAGATGCTCAAATGAAACTGTATCAAATGAAAAGTAAATCATTGCAATCTTGTCTAAATATAAAATTGCTTTACACGTAATGTATTGTTAAATTATTATATTGTTGTTTTATCAAATGATGTTGTATTTCGACACTCCTGTTATTCAGCAATGTTTAAAATTTACAGTAATTGTATTTGTTTAGGTACGATTGCAAATACTTATTGTTTATTTGATACTGAGCCTGGCAACGCAGTGGCGCAGTAGGTAGTGCTGTCACCTCACAGCAAGAAGGTCGCTGGTTCGAGCCCTGGCTGGGTCAGTTGGCGTTTCTGTGTAAAGTTTGCATGTTCTCCCTGTGTTGGTGTGGGTGCTCCTACATGCGGTACAGGTGAATTGGGTAGCCTAAAATGGTCCGTAGTAAATGAGCGTGAATGAGTGTGTATGTGTATGGATGTGTCCCAGGGATGGGTTGCAGCTGGAAGGGCATCCGCTGCATAAAAACGTGCTGGATAAGTTGGTGGTTCAATCCGCTGTTGCGACCCAGGATTAATAAAGAGAGAAAACCAAAATGAAAATAAATGAATAAATGAATGATTCTGAGCCTTTAATTGTCATTTATAAGGGATTTATAAAGCATCAATATTCCTCACTTTAGATTAGATCACAAAACTGCATGTTGAGTTCATAAAGCATTATTTAACATGCAGAAAAACATATTATATGCAGGGCTCCAAACCGGTTCAAGGAACAGAAATGAAAAACAGAATCAAATGACATTTTTCAGGAACAGAAATGAAAACCGAAAAAAAAAGATCAACTTTAATCGTTCTGAACAGAAATGTTTACAGTTAAACGGTTAATAATGTTATTTTATTGTTCTTTTTATTATATGAATTTGGGAGACAAAAAGCATTAATTTAAAGCATGTGAACAAATGCGACGGTGACGCTCGTTTTTATATAAACTATAAATGTCTGGCCGTGATGCGTATTTAGGCCTATGCCAGTCTATAAAAAAATAATGTAGCTTAAAACACTTTAAAATTTTAGAGAACGTAATACAGTTTGCACAACCAATGTTTGGTCTTAATATCCTGCCCATAATTAAACCTCATGTAGCCTACTTTTTGATTACTTGACCAGCGGATTAATGGCAGTACCAGTGGATAAACGAGATCTGAGCATAACAGGTATGACTAGTATGTGTATAACCAATATGCAAAGTCAAGAGAGTGCACGACTCCATAGGGTAACGTAGCCTAAACTGCGCACACTTGATTATGTAATGTGTGAAATCGTGAACGCATCTCAAAGAGCAAAGCATAACTTATTAAATGCCCATGCTTAATCGGTCATCGATAAGGTCTATCGGTTTTAAAGGGTTACCGACAATAAATCAATCGAGTGATCATTAGCATCCCTAGTTTAATCAATGAATGAGTTAAATTTAATATTTATATTAAAGATGAATAAGGCAAGAATATGATAATGATACTTTTTAGATTTTTACACCTACAAAAATATCTTGTGGTAGTGCACTTGTTTAATAAAAATCTTTGTAAATAGGTTATCTGTAAAAAACGCAATCAGAGCCAATGACATGTAGAAGTAGTGTTGCCTAAACGGCTATTAAATTTCTAATAAAATTAAAACCAAAGTATAACTCATTGCATTTTTTGTTTGATAAAAATATACAGAAACGAAATAAAATCATAAGGATGCTAGTTTGTAATTTATGATAATAATAATAAAATGACATGCTTAGACTATAAGCTTAACGGCTATACGCTGCCAAAAGGCCATTAATAAATATTATTTTACTTTGTACTGGATTATAATGTATATTTTACAATAAAAACTAAATATAGCATGTCTTACTGTCATTTAAAACAAGTAATTCAAAATACAGATCAGAAGTGTAGACCTGCAGTGGGTAAACTGTATACAGGGGGTGTTGGTCAATCAATAGACTACAGCACATAATTGAACTAATTATGATGCTAACTGTATTTTAGCTCTTAATATAGGCCTACAATATATTTTCTGGTGTTTAATTTTGCATGAGCAAATAGCAGTATAGCCTAAAGTAAATTTTTTTAAAAGATTATCATTTACCCTACCTGCAGCACATGTGAGAGGTGGATCTGCAGCAAATTCACTTACACACTAGGCTATATCTATTTAATTTATAACCATGTAAACTTGACTTCGCAGGCCGTTCATCTTTGAACACAAAAGGCATTTTTAAGTGTCCTAACTTGACTGCTGCTGCATAATGGGATGTTTCTTTACAAAACTGTAAAAGTGCGCTTTAGCATGTCAAAATGAAAGCAAACGTTCAAAAGAGTTCTGTGTTTTGTCAATTTTACTAATATTAATAATAATGGATATAATAAATTTAAATAATAATTGCACTGTGCAGTGTACTAAATATTTTTATTAGGCTACATAACTGAAAAACTATTTCATAACAATTTTCATAATTTTTATTGCAATTTCATATTATACAACATCTAAATGTAGCGCCGGGCCTGCGCTCGATACCAAGGAGTGGGGCTGTGTGTAGCGCCTTTAAACAGCGTGTCAATCAATAACCAAAAGCAAGTTCATATTATAAATATGTCTTATAATAATGATACTTATTGAAAATTCATTTAATCTTACCCCTCGTATAGATTTTTTAGTTGCACCATTAAAAAAACAGAGCACTCTAGAGTCCTGCAATACTTTGTAATTAAATAAAGTTTTTTTTTGTTTTTTTCTAGAAAACTGTTTTCGGAATATTTTGTCTATTAAGCAACGCAAGAACAGAACCGAAAAAATATAAATTCTGCTTAGAGTGAACCGATTGGATTTTATTTTTTTTTATTTTTTTTTTTTAGCCCTGATTATATGCCTGAATAGTAAATGTATAAATTTACTCATTCTTAATGATCCTAAAAAACACCAATTATTCTTAGACAGTTTGTAAATAATGCAATACTTCATTTAGTAATGAAAAATGAAGCTAGCTGTGTTTATAAACTGCTTAGTATTAATGTAGAGTTAATGCTTAACAAATGATGTCTATTTGGAGTTTTGGTGGCTTTGTTATATGATGAAGGTCTCTGTGCATTTGTGGGGTTCAGTTCTTTATAAATATATTTTAAATATTTTTAATGTTTTTTTTTTAAATAGTTAAAATACGACAGAAACAGAAATAGAACATACTGGTGGGTTTTAAGAGTTTACCCAAAAATGTACATTATATTATTAATTACTTGCCCTCATCTCACTCTAACCCCCTGAGACCTTCATTCTTCTTCAGACTCAAAGGAAGATAACTTAGATGAAGTGCAAGAACTCCTCATCCTCCATAGACAGCAAGGGATTGAAACAATATGAAGGAGAAGAATTAATAACAGAATCTCCATTTTGGGGTGAACTAACCCTTTAATATTGTTTGCTATTGCACTTAACTAAATGTGTATACAGACATGGAAGAGTTATGTGGAAGCTTGTTATACCCAATGAGAACTGCTTTTAGACATGCAAGAGAGTTTCATGGATTTTGTGTTTACTGTTTTTTGTGTTTAAAGGTTTTGTGGAAATTATTTATAATAAATATAACATTTATTAAATTTATTCTGGACCATTTCCTGTTTGGATCTTGAGGTTCCTTCTGTATTCAAATTACATATTTTATAAACTGACCTGCTCTTCAAATGAAAATTCTAAAGCAGTTTACTGTCAAATTACTTGATTGAGGTTTAAAATTTAATATTAGTAAGGGTGCTGATCTGATCCCCATGTTGCCTAAAAACCGGTAATGTGTGTGTAGATCTGGTCCTTACTTTGACTCAAAACCAGTGATGTGTGTGTAGATCTGGTCCTTACTTTGACTCAATACCAGTAATGTGTGTGTAGATCTGGTCCTTACTTTGATTCAATACCGGTAATGTGTGTGTAGATCTGGTCCTTACTTTGACTCAATACCGGTAATGTGTGTGTAGACCTGGTCCTTACTTTGACTCAATACCGGTAATGTGTGTGTAGACCTGGTCCTTACTTTGACTCAATACCGGTAATGTGTGTGTAGATCTGGTCCTTACTTTGACTCAATACCGGTAATGTGTGTGTAGATCTGGTCCTTACTTTGACTCAATACCAGTAATGTGTGTGTAGATCCGGTCCTTACTTTGACTCAATACCGGTAATGTGTGTGTAGATCTGGTCCCTACTTTGACTCAATACCAGTAATGTGTGTGTAGATCCGGTCCCTACTTTGACTCAATACCAGTAATGTGTGTGTAGACCTGGTCCCTACTTTGACTCAATACCGGTAATGTGTATCTGGAACTGGTCCTTACTTTGTCTCAAAACCAGTAAAGTGTGTGTAGAATTGGTCCCCACTTTGTCTAAAAATCGGTTGTGTATGTGGCGGACCCCACTTCTACACAAAACCTGAAATGTCCCCACAAGTGACCACTGTGTCAGGTCTAAAAAAAAATTTGCGGAATATCCAAAATCTGAAGTGATTTTATGAAATAGTTTGTGTTTTTGTGTGGCAAACTATTTTTTTTATGTCTCTAACATCATCAGAAAGGGTGGTCCCCATTACGTAACCACCGTGACAGGTGACCCCCACAATGCACAAAAACAAGTATGTGTGTGTGTGTGTGTGTATATATATATATATATAGTATTTATAAATTGTTTTGTTTAGATTTTGCGTGTGTATTATACACAATAAATTTATTGAATACACACACTTTTGGATGTGATTAATGTTTGCCCAGGACTAATGTAATTTATAATGCAAATTTTATTAGTTTTTTCCAATTGCTAAATCCTAAACATTTCACTCTCCGTCTCTCAGTTTAGTTAAATTCAGTTAAATTCAATTCAATTATAATATTTATATGACAAATGTTACAAAAGTATTGCCAAAGCATTTATAAAGTTTACATTAAAAATCACATATATTATATATAAATGTAAATGTAGCACCACCTAGGGTGTGCATTTAATTGTAATAATTCAACAGCCTGTCGTCAAGTAGTCCTCCTCATGTAAGTAATAATAGAACTTATAGTAGTTTTTTCAAACTCCTAAATCCTAAAAATTTATCTTAAGGCCACCTTTACCTTGTTAAAAACCAATTAACAGATTGTTAGAATACCATTATTATCATTAAAATTGCAATCATGTTTTACACTTTCCTCTCCTTATTTCCGTTCCCTTCCCTTCATCTCTCTCTCTCTCTCTCTCTCTCTCTCTCTCTCTCTCTCTCTCTCTCTCTCTCTCTCTCTCTCTCTTCACTAAAGCATGTAGCGCAGCACAGCAGCTCACATCTCAAACACTCACTCCGCTGTGAGTGTGTATTAGTATTGTGGAGCTTCAGATCGCGAGTGTTTTTTTCCCCCGCTGAGCCTCAGGCTGGATTTAGAGCAGGACTGGAGCGCTGCGCCACGTGGGTGCCTGGGGCGGCCCGGTCAGTGCCAGCCGCGGGCAAACTGGAGCGGGGAGTTGGGCTCGGGGTCCGGGGAGCCGGGCAGGTGGCATGAGCAGGGGGTCATGTGGGAAAGTGAGGGTCTGCAGACGCTGGGTATCGTGGTGATCGTGTGCGCGTCCCTCAAACTACTGCATCTGCTGGGGCTCATCAGCTTCTCCGAGGGTAAGAGAGAGTTTATTCGGAGTTTATCCTGGCAGAAAATAAGTCTGTAACACTTTTAAGTGATACTCCATTATATTTGCTTACATCAACAAATAATGGTATTTACAGTGCATTAACTAATATCAACAAGGACGGATTTTAATTTTAATAAGGCAATAATAATGCAGAACTATGATTTATGAATGATTTACAAGATTATACTTAATGTTATAAATACATTACTTGACATTATCATTATTCTAAACCATCACCAATGAGTCTTTTAAGGGTTAAATGTAAAAAAGAAACTGATCATAAGTCGTGAATGACTGGAAATACATGTGAGAATGAGGATGTTCAAAGACCGATAGATGAAAGAGACAATATTCTGCTGGTAGATTTGTGGATGCACTAGAAATGTGTACTTTACTGTGGAGCTGTGAGTGTTTAGGTGGGTACATCAGGTGATGTGCATCTTTTATAAAAAGTCAGACGGGCTTGCTTTATTTAAAGGGCTGTTTTAACTGTTAGAGTTGTTTGAGTTAAATTAAATGCCTTATAAATTGAATAAAAAGTACTTTTTTGAGTTTGAACGAATAATGAAAAACACTCTTACATCATGTATGTTTACCCTTTCGAACCATGCATCCATTACTTTGGATTTCACATAGGTCTTCTGTGATATTGGACATAGAGATGTAGAGTATCGGCCTTAGATATGTACAATATCAGCCATAGACATGTATAAAATCGGTATCCGCCATAGTATCCGCCATAGTTATAGTAGTATAGTAGTATAGTAGTTATAGTAGTATAGTAGTATCCGCCATAGTTATAGAGATGTATATTATTGGCAATAGAAATGTATAGTATCGGCCATAGAGATGTACAATATTAGCCATAGAGATGTGCAATATCGGCCATAGAGATGTGCAATATCGGCTATAGAGATGTGCAATATCGGCTATAGAGATGTACAATATCGGCCATAGAGATGCATAGTATCGGCCATAGAGATGTGCAATATCGGCTATAGAGGTGTACAATATCGGCCCTAGAGATGTACAATATCGGCCATAGAGATGTACAAGACTGGCCCTAGAGATGTACAATATCGGCCATAGACATGTACAATATCGCCCATAGAGATGCATAGTATCGGCCATAGAGATGTACAATATTGGCCAGAGATGCATAGTATCAGCCATAGAGATGTACAATATTGGCCATAGAGATGAACAATATCGGCCATAGAGATGTACAATATCGGCCATGGAGATGTACAATATCGGCCATAGAGATGTACAATATTGGCCAGAGATGTACAAAATTGGCCAGAGATGTACAATATCGGCCATAGAGATGTACAATGTCGGCCATAGAGATGTACAATATCGGCCATAGAGATGTACAATATCGGCCATAGAGATGTACAATATTGGCCAGAGATGCATAGTATCGGCCATAGAGATGTACAATATCGGCTAAAGAGATGTACAATATCGGCCATAGAGATGTACAATATTGGCCATAAAGATATACAATATCGGCCATAGAGATGTACAATATCGGCCATAGAGATGCATAGTATCAGCCATAGAGATGTACAATATTAGCCACAGAGATGTGCAATATCGGCAATAGAGATGTGCAAGATCAGTTATAGAGATGCATAAAATCGGCCATAGAGATGTACAATATCGGCCATAAAGATATGCAAGATTGACCATGGAGATGTACAATGTATGCCATAGAGATGTGCAATATCGGCTACAGAGATGCATTGTATTGGCCATAGAGATATACAATATTGGCTAAAGAGATGTACAATATCAGCCATAGAAATGTACAATATTGGCAATAGAGATATACAATATTGGCCACAAAGATAAACAATATGGGCCATAGAGATGTATAGTATCAGCAATAAAGATGTACAATATTGGCTATTAAGATGCATAGTATCGGCCTTAGAGATGTACAATATCAGCTATAGAGATGTACAATATTGTCCAGAGATGCATAGTATCGGCCATAGAGATGTATCAGCCATAGAGATGTACAATATCGACCAGAGATGCATAGTATCAGCCATAGAGATGTACAATATCGGCCTTAGAGATGTACAATATCGGCCATAGAGGTTTACACTATCGGCCATAGAGGTTTACACTATCGGCCATTCCCCCACCCTCCACACTTCACTTTCATCCACGACACCTCTCCCTCCTTAGGTAACATGCAGGATGTGTTACATGGATCTGTTCCTGGACCCTGCAATTTACAAATTAAGGACTGAGTATTGGCCATAGAGATGCACAGCATCAGCTGCATAGATTTAACATATTATGCTGTAGATATCTACATTATTGGCTATAGAGATGTACAATATCGACTTTAGAGATTAACAGCATCAGCCATATACAGTATCAGCTAGAGATGTCATGTATTTATTGTAGAGATGTACAGTGACAGCCATATGGTGTACACTACCAGCCATAGATGTACAGTATCAGCCTCCACATTGTGAATCCATCACTATCTAAGTGTTCAGACATCAGACCCAATCTTAGAGATCATTATTGTCATTATAGTGAATAAGTGCACCAGTCTGCAATCACTGACTCCATCCAACCATCTAAACCCAGTTTGCTTTTAAAACGCTCCATTTTCCAGGTTGCATGTTTCCATGTCCCCGTGGGTTCATTTCAATGGCTCATTTACTGTCAGTATTGGACCTAATAGGATGTTGGCTGAACAATGGATCTTATTACCAGAATGTTTCTCTTTGTTTATGAAATGCCAAACTGTAGAAGCGTTTTAGGGATTGTAGCGCACTGTCTATCTAATGCCAATCTAAATGCCAACATGTTTTCCTGGCTCAGTTTGAACTTCCATACCTCTTTAACATGGATGATATTTACCATTAACCCCAGTCAGACGGCTGCTCACAGGAAATGTTTTAGCTTCGAGCTCAATTATGAGCTCACAGGTGTCACTGACCTCAGATCAGGGGGCGTTTGCTCATTAAAGCTGTGGAACAATAGCACAGATGACAAGAGGTCGCATCGAATCAGTGTGTCAGTGAAGATAAATACTGTCCAGTTGACCTGCGCTCACGAACACACACACACATACACACATAGAGACTCGACGAGTGTGACTCAGGGACTCGTAAAGATCCCATGTCAAATTAACAACGGCGCCAACCATTAACACAGAGAA